GGAAGGTAATTGTGGATTCCTTACTGGATAAACATATTTCAGTTTCTTGAAAGTTTCTTCCAAACCGTCTTCTTTTCAGAGGCCTTCTCCAATCCTGAAAGTGCGAGTCCATCTCCCCCAGTTCTGCCAGTCCATCCAGTTCTGCCGAGAAGCATGGCGGTCTGAAACGCACCGCCTTTTCCATGCGGAGGCGGTGGGGGGGGGAAGGCGGGTCCCATGGCCCACTCAGTCGGAGGCAAGGCCCCACATTCTCAGCATAGGCCCGGATGAGATCCACTGTGAGGAAACACTAGGAAGAACAACTCATCTACTCATCTACCGAAATCACCTCAAGACCAGAACACCTTCAAAGATCAATGAAATGGACCTCTTCAATCCCAGCATCCAACAAAAACATCATTCGATGGGTGTGGGTTCTTCAATCTGGACCTCCAAGGACGCCCTTGTCAAGCCCCACCCACGGCCTTCCAAATGAAGCCCCGCATCCGCCCCGGTCCGGTAGAGTCCCTCCACGATCTGGCGCAGTGAGACGCGGTCCCGGGCGACCGATGGAAGTGGACGAAGTGTTCGGGTCGCGACCGCCCAAGAGTTGGACTCCGCCCAGGGGTGCGAGAGGGGTGCTCAAACGAATGACCATTGGTTGAAGTGGGAACTCCCTAACTGCTCGGCTTTTGCAGGTTGAAAGTGGGGGATATGCTCCGGATCGCTCCCCGGTGAGTACCAGCTAGATGAAGCATCTTGACGACTGGGTCGACTGGGTCCTAACCTGTTTTGATGACACCTCTTGAGTCGCGGGTTTGGGAGGCGAAGTGTCTGCATCAAGACCGTAGATCATATCAAAGCCACTTGGCCACTTCTGTGTAGTCCCACAGCCGGATGCAAATTCACTGACTGCTTTTGGAGCGACCACCATGCAGCTATCAATGGCTATCAAGAACTGATCATGGCCAGGACGTTTGGATGTTGTCCTTTTGCTTTTGATCGCTGCAGCGTTCTTCCAAAGTCCCATGAACTTCTCACTGGGCCGTGGCTCAAACTGGCTGCATCCAAAGCCCCCGTCGTTCTAAAGAACGATGGCCTGGACCCTCCAAAGTACCCTAGAACATGGGACGTCGACCCGGTCGACCCTACAGTAAACGTATACCAATTTTCCTCACCAACGCAGTGAGTCCTGTTTTGGGGAGCCACAGCTCATGGTGGATTGAGGCACCGAGCAAGCTTGGAACTTCTTAGCCAGTCCAACTTAGATGGACCTGACAGTGTCAGAATAGCCCAATGAGTTGGGGAAGACTGGAATACCTCCCAGCCTTCAAGCCTCCACCGCCAATGGCAGTTGCGTAAAAACAAAAAAACAACCTTAGATCCAAATATATAGTGCTTTTCCTCTGGGCTCCCACGTTGGAACAGGTGTTCACCGCCCAAGTCTTCAACCTATGACCCCGACCAAAGCCAAGACGGCTCCACACGTCGCCGTTCACGCCTGCTTTCCGATGGAACCGATGGGCGTCAACTGGGTCTCAGCTTCTGCGTGAACGCCCTGGCGTGATGATGCGTGAACGCCCCTTTGGACGGTGAGGTGTGTCTGAGCAACTCCCGCCCTGAGCAAGTACTAGCGATGGCCTCCAACCGAATAGCGATGGCCTCCCATCTACTAATCACTCCCCAATTGGAAAAGAAACACCATTTGGGACACCCATACATATTTGTGTTTAGATTATATACCGCCTTTTAAAGCCACTACTAAACTACCAACATGGTCGAGTTCGGGTAGTTTTTTTAAATATTAGGTTCCTGAAGCAACCCTAACTATCCACTTCTCACCACGCTGTCTGTCCGTCTGACACACCGTGTTTTTCACAGTGTGGTGTCCTTCCCATTTTCCACGGAATCCACGGACTCACGCAAAAACGGTCAAAAGCATTTAATTTAGTTTGTAGTCTAATGAAGAATCACAAGTTTAATAATGAATTTGTGTAAAGGCCTGTAAAGGGAACAGGAAGACCCTTCGATCTTGATTTTTTTCAAGTTTTGATACGACACGCGTTGACTAAAGGATTCGATATAAAACATCCTAGGCCTTTTTCGGTTTTGAAGCTCTTCCCAGGTTTCCATCTTTGTGGGTCCCCCAATTTGGGGGACCCCCTATTTAAATCCTTTATTAGGTGCTTTCCTTTATTAGGTGGTGGCACCTGCTTTGCTTTCTATACCCATATTTACTATTCAAAAAAGGCTCCTCCCACTGACCCTATTTTGGACAACCCCCATTTAGGGACCCCCTATTAACAACAAACTCACCCAAGTTTATATATATATTTGTTTAATAGGTGGGGGGGCCTCGTGTTTTCAATAGATGGAAGGGATTGGAGGTTCGTATGTGTCTTTTCTTAAGATCTCTTGGAATGCTTTCCCTATGCCAAGTGTGTGTTCCAAACTCAGAAAATCCACAGCTGCTCTTCGACACAAGCCAAGATCACTAGGGGGTCAGCCCTGTTCGGGGGTTCGGCAACTGCGCATGTTCCAAAGTGAATCTCATGCAGCTTTGGTCTGGAGGGGCAAAGACTTGAGCAAGCAATATCTGTGCTTCATGACACCCTCTGGAAACTGGTTGACACAGCAACTATAACATCCATATATGGTTGTGCTCAATGACCCATTCACCCTGACGTTCGCTGCTGCCTGCAGGATTGCGGTCACGTTGTCCATCAAAGCGCCTGGCAACCTCTGCTGTGCCGCCTGCGCTGCTGTGGGTGTAGTCTTTGGGCTGCAGAGAGGCAGGAATGTGGATTGAACCCCCAGAAGTATACCCTGGAAGATTAACATAGAACCTGAAAACCACTGGGTTGTAGAGGAAAGTAGCCTTCCAAAGGTCCATTTTCAGGTTCCATGTTAATCTTCCCAGAAGTAAATCAAATGACTTCCTGGAGTCGACCCCTTCGTACCCCAGTGGAAAACAAGGCGAATTGCTGAACAGGTTGCACTGTTCCATGACAGATGGACCCGAACAGATGAAGTCGGACCTGAAGCATTTTCTCCGGAAAGGAGTGTTTTCTTTTTTTGTCTCCATCCTAAATCTCAAATCTCCTCACCTGCGGTGAACATCACGTCACCCGCATTGGCAGTTTGTGCCTTCGCGGACACCCGCCGCGAACCGGGCGGGGTCAGATTCGCAGCGAGTGGAGCGGTCACAGGTCCCCTTTTTCAGCTGTTTCTGGCGAGAGTCAGGGCACGACGGCGAGGATACGTGCCGGTGCGTGCAGGAGGACTTCTCGAGTGAATTTCTCGAGGTCTATGCAGTTTGAGACGACCGGAAGCGTGGTGGGACCTGAAGTGGTACAGCACTGGTTTTGACCAGGTGAGATGGTGAGAAACTTGTGTTGTTGAAAGGAATCTGCATCCACTCAGGCCAGATGGACACCACCACTTCCAAGGTTAAAAGGGATCAACATGGATCAACATCCTGTACATGGTCTTCAGAGATGGGGAGACTTCTCAAATGATCTATAGGCTCTCTTATGATCTATAGTCAGATACATTGCAAATCATTGCATCATCCAGAACAACTGATGCGACATAAATCGACACCCAAATCGACAGACCCTTGGATTCTGGGCTGATCCGCTGATCCGCTGGTCGATCCACTACTCCGCCATTTTTTGAAGGAACGTGTTCCTCTTCCACGATCGGGGACATCGCTCAATCGTGGAGGAGGTATTAATAACGCACTCAACAGCGTTTGCTTTACAGCTGAGAGTTCACTTGCATGAATTCAAAATTTTTCGTCTGATTTCAGGAAGAGCTCTTTTGATCCACTCAACTATACACATCCTGGATCCAAATCGACGCAAACACCCTCCTGAGATGGCGGGAGGTGTCGTTTTCCGGACGGATGGCCACAAATTGGGCATTCTGAGAAGAAGATTCGGTTCGTGATGACCGGGGGAAAGTAATTACCTTCTTTGCTTTGATTCTGCTCATGTGAAACTGTTCAAAGGCGACCTCCGCTCATGTCGCGATCCGGATCCGAGGGGATGTGCTGAGGATTCATATATTGCATAGAGTGGAACATGTGGAACCAATAAATGGTGATAGTGGTGATAGTATATTTAGATATATTTAATGGTTTAAATTACCATGTGGAACCACTATATACTACCATGATACTATCACCATTATTTCAATTTTATTTTACTTATTGACATTTAAACTCCGCTTCACTATCACCATTCATTCAGCATGGAAGTGGAGGTGTTCCTCTTTGTCAAGGATCACCGCATCAAGCCGTATCAACGATCGTTTGGCCTTCACCCTTTTGACTCTGAGTCAGAGCGTTTCCGAAAAGGAAGGATGAACTTTCCACCCCTTGGATTTTGAGTGGACTCTCCCCAATGCCCCCCCAAAACTTGAGCAAATGATCCACGTTTCCTGGACGTTTCCTGGGTACAAGTTGCATAGAGTGCAGTGCCTAGTGGGCTTAATTCGTGCTTATATAGCGGACACCAAATCCCACTTCTCGCCGTTCACTGCCCGGCCACTCTTGAAGCCTGACGGCCGCCTCGTGCGCCTCGTGCACCGCCAACTCTTGACGCACCGTTTCGATGGTCCCATAGACACCTCAGCACCAGGGTGGTCGACGGCGCGGGGGCGAGAGGCTGCGGTTTGATACTCTCAAACTCATGGGGCGCTTGACATGACCCAAAGAAAGAAAGAAACAGAAAGAAAGACATAAAGAGGTCGACCAGGTAGACTCGTAGAGGATTTGAGAGTTAGTGACTGTTGCATGGTTCAGACATTTAGGAGAATGTTCACCTACCGAATCGATGAGAATCACTCTTCGATCTTCACCTCTTCCTAGATGGGTGGAATAGCTTTGCAGTGGGCAACTTCCCTGTGCAGGATGGAGATATACGGGGATGGGAACGGAACTCATTCCCAGTTCATAGCATCGTTTGGAGCCAAAAACACTTCTACATGCAAAGAGGTTATCCGCATCAACCATCTGTTTAGCCGTTTAGACTCCACAAAAAGGCCTTGGGGAAGGAAATTCCCAAAGACCATCTGGCACGGAAAACACCCACATACACACTGCCTTGCACTGATGAATGGTATCCCACCGGTCTCGATTTCCACGTACCAATTGGCAGGGGCGATCCCCCCGCAGCTGTCGGTGAAGGTGTTCGACTCCTTCGGACTCGACTCTGCAAGGAGCTGTAGAGCCCAAAGAGAACTGCGAGGCTCAAAACGCCCAGCTTTGGCCACCGGCCCATGTTGCCACCGTTCCTTGGCATCGCAGGAGGCGGAGTGGTCGGGCCACGGTCGTGGTGGAGCCTTCAAACAATCTTTGCAATGTACAGTGGTCTTGAAGGTTGCGTGTCATGCAGGATACATGCGGACAAGCTTGAGTAGCGCAAGACACAGCAGCTGCAGTGCCGTTGCGCCGGTCCATGGTCTGGTCAAAAGCTAGGACCGAAAAGGCCGAGACAGATCGTTGCATGTGCGAATCTGTCGTCTCGCCGTGAGCTGCTTCAAAACAGCCGCGGCCGCATCCACCAATGAACGAGGGAGTCGAAGTCGAACTCCGGACACTGGGTAAGTGATTCCAAGACCAAGCCTATTGAGACCGTCAATCCACGGAAGCTCCAACCCGAAGTAGCTAGAGAAACGTCGAAAAAGGGTACGAACAAACCTAACCCGAACAGCAATCGTCAGGGAAGAACGAGTAACACCACCATCACACGGAGGTACCCAGCGTCCCGCCTCGGATGAAAGCATTGGATGGATCAAAGGAGATTCAAAAATCACAGCTGCAATCTCGATCCAGGAAAGTTCGAAACTGCCTGTGGCTGTGCTGTCATGGTGCTGAAACCACTCCAAAATCTGTACACCGAGCTGGGCACCAAGACACGAGTTGTCTCGAAGCCAGGTATTCTGCCAAGACAAAGGTAAAAGGTCAAAATTAGAAGGACCTTGCTCCTCAAGGCTAGCACTCACTTCTTCTTCAGGCTCATACTCAGGTCCCACATCCGAGGCGCCTGACCCACGGAGTTCATACCGAAGTCGTGCAAGGTCAAGGTGCAGGGATTGCAGCGAAACCACATCCTTGCGTTGAAGCTCTAGTTCCTCCACATACTGCCGCCACAGCCGGCGGAAATGTAGCGGTCGTTGTTCCTGAGCAGTCGCTGCTTGACGGTCAGCTATGGCATTCCAATGAGCCAGCCAGGATGTAACCTCATCATCCTGTTGAGTGCTCATATGCCCCGGTGTATGGCATACCATGAAACTGACATTGCTGTAGGTAGTCAAGGCTTGCGCAATCTGCCGCCATAGGTCCTGATTCGAACCATCAGGAACATCAAACCGGTCTTGTCGAAGGCGATGAAAGCCAGCAGCAACATAGGCGCTATCTGTCCATAAAGTGACCGCTCGTGCCCAAGCAGTAGCCCATCGCACCGCCGCCCAAGCCGCCATGAGCTCAGAGCAGTTGGTAGTTTGTAGAAGACCGTGCAGAGGCCCTGAAGCCAGGCACAACTGGTGGGTCGCCGAAATGAGCGACCAAGCCCCAAGGGACCGTGCAGGGTCCGTGGGGTGAAGGCAACTTCCATCAGAAAACAAATCAACATGTTCTTCTTCAAAACGATGAAGCATGAAACAACCAGAAAAATCTTCTAAGGAAATCAAAGCCTTCTTGACCTGTGGCCAGTGAACCAATCTGTTGGGTAAAAGATGATGTGTCAAGCTCCTTGGAAGGTCAGGCCATCTAGCAATGATAGCAGGATGTGGAGCCCGCGCGGCAGCCAAACGAGGACATTCAAGGCACAGGTGCTCCATGCTGTCCATTTGACCACATAAATCACACCGTGATGTCTTGGTCAGGTCAAACTTATGGATCATATCGTTGGTCATGAAGGAGCCATCACATAAAGCATGAAGCTGTGCTCTCTGCACCGGAGAGCAAGAGGATCCCAATGATGGTGTTGCCCAGTGAAGACCAGTCAAACCAGCAAAGTCTTTGCGACCCCCCTATACTGCGAGCAATATATTGATGCCACGCATCAATAAGAAGAGAGTCAAGCAGCTTGGTGGGTATCTCCAGCAAATTCCACTCGCAGCCATCATGATCCACAAAGAAGGGTGGCTGAGAGATGTGCCATCGGACAAGGTCCATTTGCTCCAGAAGCTTGCTGAAAGGTCCTGAGAACCAAGTGCCATCATAGTGCTCCATAAAGCGCAACCAAAGTTCTACCAGGGCGTCGTCCTTGGAAAGAAAGCGTTGGAAGTCATGGAAAACACGATGCAGTTGGTAAAGACCAGGGTCCAACATTGGAGAGCGCCCAAGCAGGCTAAGCCGAATGAGCGGTTGAGAGCCGGCCTGATGCCATCCAAGGGCCTTACAGGCTTGTGTACGGAGGGCTCGTACATGTGTATCAGACAACAACGTGATGCCAATAGCATGGAAAGCCCGTGGCCATAGTGCCATGTAAATGAGCTGCTGTTTTTGACCAACATCCATGGGACATTTGCGCAAAGATTGCCAATGAGGGAGTAGCTGCTGAATACGATGGAGCTGTGTTCCCGCAGCACGTCGCCGACAGTACATCATGGCCCCACCAAGATCAGCAGCCTGCAGTCGTACCGTGAGACCCGTACGACGGAGAAGTTCCCGGTCGGTCGATTGCACTGCCCAGAAGAAGGTTTTGGCAGAATCCAGCTCTAAACCCCACAGACTAAGATAGCTCTGAAGTGTCGCGGCTCCCTGAAAAAGATGACTTAGCTGAGTGGAGACCAAGTCAAAGTTGTCGACAAAGCTGAAAGATCGACAATTGGGCACGTACCGTTGGTGGTAGATGTCATAGACCCAATCAACTATAGTCATGCCCAGTACTGACAGTCCGCATCCCTCAGGTAGTCCAGCACTTGAGCTCAAGGCATCTCCAAGTTGGCCATGAAGGACAAAATGCCGCTGAAAGTTATCCAGAAAAGACTGCCAAGGCCGCAACAGCGAATCTGGAATGCCCAGAATACGGCAGACCTCAATCAGTGGGTGACGAGGCACGTTCTCAAAGGCTTTGATGATATCTCCCACGCAACCTGCCAGTGCAGAACGCTCCTGTAGTGCAACTTCAACCAATGCTTGGATATAGTGCCAGAGCTGTCCTGCTTCACGCTTTGGAAGGAAACCTTTGGCATCAGATCCAACATAGTGCGACAGTTGAGCAAGAAGAGCACGGGAATGATGACTGGCCCAGCTCCTGTAAAGCATGCTCAAAATGATGATGGGTCGAAACTGATGAGTCTCCTCAGCATTGAGGCATTTGGGGAGAGGAAGACCAAAACCTCGCAGGATCTGAGCAGGCCACTGCCCCGTACATTCAATCTTGCCAAACATGGCAACCAGGCTTTCCTTGAAGCGAGGAGGCATACGGCACAGATCATTGTGATCAAAGCCATCAGGCCCTCGAGCCGACCGATCTGTGTAGCGTTGGTTAATGGCGTCCCAAGCAGCCACAGAGATCTGAGAAACTCGAAGAGGCGGAGCTGGTACAAAGTGTTTGGTGAATGCCAAGATCCGGTGCCATGCCTCCGGAGGCACGTGAGCATGTCGTTGCCAACGTTCCCGCCAGAATTGCGATAGTTCACGCAGCATGTCAGCCGTGTGCACAGAGTGGATTTTCTGGCAAATCTCCTGTCCTGGGCACAACAGAAGGTCAGCGTGAACTCGCAAAGTATGATCATCCAACCGCTCAACAGTAGCCGGGCAATCATCAAGAAACCACGTCGATGAGGTAGAAGCAGTCATAGGCCGATCAACATGAACCAGGCAGGAGGATGGCTCAACTTCCAGAATCTCAGCTTTTTCAAAGCGCGAGAGGTGCTGCATAGGAGGACCCCTATCAGTGCGAACAACTGAAAAGGCCAGCCGGGTGTTCTCCTGGTATTTCAGACGTAGTGCCCTTTGTCGATTGCGATAGTGCCAGGATTCCAGTGACTGGTAGTTGGCCTGAAAGTCAAGGAAGATGTTGTGCATGATGTCAGCGGAAGGACACAACAGGGGCAAAGTCGTAGGCGATGATTGAAGAACAATGGGGCGACAAGTCCACCAATCAGCAAAGGTGCCATCAAAACCTTTGGCCTTCCAGACAGCACGCCAAGTGAGGATACGATATTCCACCGCACCAGCACTGGGACTCATAGCACGTAAGTTGTGCAAGAGAGATTGGATTCGTCTGAGCTGCTGGAACCAACGGATCATC